CTTAAGGTCGTGAGTTCGATCCTCACCCGGGACAAATTTTTTTTTCTCTTTTTCCAATAATTAACATAATTATTATTATATTACAAATTAAATGATCTAAAATGATTAAGTATAGAACATAATAGCTAAAGATAGAATTTTTAAACAGGCTAAATTGTTCTTAATGAAAGTAAATCGCAAGTAGAAGAATCTGAAATGAAAAATGCCCGAAAAAAAGAAAGAAGGAAAGAACTGTACGACTTTACAGAACGAGAAAGAGAGGAAAAGGCAATTATGTAAATGCAACGCTCGCCGGAGGGACTTGAAGATTCTTGGAATTGAAATGTGGAAGTTAAAACGAGTTGTGAATTGTTTGCTGCCCTTTAGCGATATCACAATTTGCAAGCAAACAGCCCATTAAGCTGAAGGTGCCATAGCAGGCTACCTTTCAACCGTGGTTAGGTGTTGCGACCCTTTGGTCGAAATAAATTCACGTCGAAAAATGACGTGCGCATTCGCGATACACAAACAGCTCATTTCACAGGACAATACAATAAAATAAATATCTTTCATTCTCAATCTTAAACTCTTTTGTGCACAAACTTGAAATTCAAAGCGAGTAATGTTGAACGACAGGGTTATTGATGGATGGGCTACGGAAATGCGGGATGATTCTTCGGCTCTGTTCGCGCTTATCGTATTTTCAGGGTGATTATACGTCGGTAGATATCAGAAAATGAGAGAAAAGGAAAGGGAAGGTTTCAGAGAAACGGAGGAGGCGATAGATCCGCGTTTTCGCCCTGTTATTTTATGCAGCCGTCCCGTCTATGCATCCGTTACGTATAAATGCAGAGACGCGGCCCGGTTTGCAGGTGCACAGCAGGCTCGTTGCAAGCGCGGTTGATTCCGCGTTGATTCAGCTCGTATTCAGTGCATCGAGTCCCGCGATGAAAAGGCGTTCCGCTTTCTGAATATATTCCAATTAAAAAGTCGGAGCTTCGTTACACTCGGCCCTGCCCTCGTGTACCCTGCACCCTGCACCTTGCACCCTCTACCCTTGCCACATCCCATCCTACCCTCCCTCCTCTTTTCTCTCCGGATCCGCTATCTTTCTCTTTCTCTACACCCTTGCTTCTCACCGTACATACCATCTTTTCCCTCTACAGTCTACAACTACCCTCGCCTCTTCCATGGCTCCTTTTACTTCAGCCTTCCACCAACCGAGCCGCAATCCCTTTTTCGCTACTCCCGTGCAGTCAGCCATCGCTACATCCCTTCTCTTCCGCGCTTTCTCCAGCAATTACTCCGCCGCTTTTTTCTTCTATCTAAAGAATTAGAAATACCGAGATCCGTTCGTTTCCTTCGTCACTCTACTCCATTTTTCGACCAGTTCCATTGCTCCTCCTATCGATCCTATCTTCGCGGATTGATTATCGCTGATCTAATCTAAACAAATTGCATCGTACAGTACAACATAGTAGACACCGTTCGTGTTGCCGCTATCGATGTCCAGTTCTGTGGTACACAAAGGGTTAAATCGCAGCGTTACAGAGAGAAATAGACATCCTACAGCGAAATCATTAATCGGCAATGAAAACGAGCGGATTAGAAAACACACAGGTATCCCGTAGGGATGGTGAGTTTGAAAAGCTGAAACGATTTCGAAGGATCGCTGGGCCGACCACGTTGGTACACGGAGATGACCCCCCGTCAAGTATTTAACGACTCGACTCACTTCTCGGAGGGTAAGAGTAAGAGAGGCGCATCGTAAATTGAAGAGGGATAAGAAGCGCGTGTCCAAGTGCCAACACGACTTACGCACGTATGCACGCGCCTCCGCGGCTTGTTCGCTCGACAATACGCACGTGGCCTGAGTGCACGCGACGCCACTTCTCTCCCAGCATCTCGTTCCAGTTCCTCTATCATTCTTCGCCTCCTATCCACCGCGGGGATCCTAGATCGCCGCCGGATCATTCACGAATAAACTATGCTCGTTTACAGCGATTGTCATGCACTCGAGCATATAAGTATGTATACTGCACCTTTGTGCAATCGCGTTGCAAGTTGATGTTCCTATCGGCCTATCTGTACTTTCTTTCATTATCGCGTTACATTGATTTCTATTAAGCAAATCATTTGAAATCATTTCGAACGTGCCTAGTTTCCTTTTGAAGGGTAGTCGACTGGTCGACTTTAACACGCGTTAAAGAACGAAATTAGAAGGGAACGGGTAAAGAAACGAACGTCACCGAGCACAATACACGGCACAGAAGATTATTACGAATAAAATGCGATTCATTATGTCGGCGTAATTACGCGTGATGGATTCCAGGTCGCCGACACATTGAGAACGAAGAGAATAAGAGATAAAGAAGAACGCGGAGAGGAAGGGTAGCAAGAATTTTTCCTTCACTCGCGTGATTTCACGCTCGGCAAAACGTGTCTGTCCTTTTTATTATTCGAGGACCACAGGCACCGAGAGTCTTCCCGGTTTATTTCATCCCGAATGAACCCGAAAGGAGCGTCTCTCATTCTGGCATCCCTCTTTTCTCATTTTTTTTTTTTTTTTTTTCTACTGACTCGACGTCGTCGCCCAACAATTTCTTCTTCTCAAACAAAATATACCTCTCCACCGGGTCTTTTTAACTTTCCACGCATCTTTTCCTCCCATTATATCCCTCTCGTTCGTCGCGCTTACTTCAAACTCGCGCTTTCATCGTGTTCCATTGAATCGTGCGGTAACCGGAAGTGTCGTGTTGCGAGGTCATTCGGAGAGTCGGCGATGTAACATCAGTCGGTTTTCATTATATTTTTGCTTTGAAAAACTCTTCAAGTTGTGGCAGTTCTTTGGACGATGCAGCTACGGAGGAGAAAAACGTTTTTATTTCGAAGCGATCGCAAGTCTCCTCGATGAAATTTTCATCAAACTCAATTTCCCTCTGATCGTTTTTCGAGATTCATCTTCTCGTATCGAAAGGAAAGTGATTAAGGACTTCGTTACTAGACGATCGTTCAATATTAAATAGTGTCTAATCATCCGTGTAAAGAGATCGTACACTTTTCTTTCTCCGCTCCCGTCCTGTCTCTCATCTTCGTCAATTATAACATGGGAGACTGCTGCTTGCTGCGAACTAAATCATCGCGACAAATGGTGATCCGTGTTTCCTCTGCTGTTTCTGTCCCACTGTTTCTCTTCTGCTTCTCGTCGATTCCGTTCAATTAAATCCGCTAACCAATTCCAGCCACGAGTACCACTGCCACTCGACTTGTATCGGTTTCAGCCAATTACTTTCAGCTGGGGCTCGCGGATCTCTGTTTCTGGCCACGTGCCCATTGTCACGCGCAAATTCGCCTTTCTGATACGGGCTCGTTACTGTTTCCACTTTACTATTTACACTTTGGCCCATTAAAATAGGCCTTCATTTTTTCCTGCATCGCGTTGTCCAGCATGGAAGAAAACAATTTGCTTTTGAACCTCCCTTTTTTGGCATCGAAAACGAGAAAAGGAATTGAAGATAAAATTCAATGGGTACAGGGTGCTGGAAAAATTGGACGTGGGAGAACGATTATCTGAAACCTGAAGTACGAAGGGAGTAATCACAAGTGATTGCTTCAGTTCGATAATAATTTATTTATCTACAAGAAGTTTTCCGGCTACGAAAAGTGATCGGCTAACCGGAGATAGTAATCGATTACCAGCGTTAGCTAACTAAATCTCTAAACAAAAATCGTAATAAACATCATCTCTTTCGTTTTTTTTTTTTCTTTTCTCATTACGATTACCTACAACCCTATATCAAATCTACAAATTCAACTCGCTACCGATTTAACTAGATTCCCAGCGATTAACACATCCCATACCGTGTAAATCTTCCCTCCGACGTATTTATGCGGTCGAGTAGCCTAAGTTAAAAATTTCATACGCGGCACGAAAGGTGTTAATCATTGACCCGTTCGTTTCGATCAACAAAAAAAGAACATCGAAGTGTAAACTGGGACAAGCGAATGTTCTTGAACGATAGGGCGAATCAGCAAGATTTCATCTACTGTCAAAGACTTTCCCTAATTCCTCTGTCGTTCTCTCTTTGAAATAAGAACCGACTACAACTACCGGCCAACTTCGTAATTACATATGTACACTGTCGTCTCGCATGCAGAAGATAAACACGAGAAACAAGTCCAAGGGCGGAGCACAAAATCGTCTAGGGTTCAGTGTTCCTGTAACTGAAAACGTGAGAAACGATGAACGTGAAACATCTTCTTAGTTCCCACATTTCACTGTGAAACAATGATCAACTATCGCGTGCACGAGCGATTGAACGATACCGATGAAAAATTTAAAAAACTGTGACGAAAGGTTTGACACGTTGAGCGTCCGCTTCGTTATCGGAGACGGAGATTCTTCGAAGAGAAAAAGGCTGACGATGGTCGACGGAGAGCGGAAACGATCCTGAAACCGCTATATTAGGCCGGGTTAGAGTGGACATCCGTGAACGTAGGTGACATTTCGAAAGAGAGCGGCTGCGGTGGAGAGAAAAGCAGCCGTCGAGGCGGTGGACGGCGCAGGTGGTGGCGGCGGTGGAGGCGGATGAGTTTGAGTTTGAGTTTGGGCATTGTACGGTGGACAGTAGGCGTCTATGCTTCCATGGTGAAGGCCCACACCTCGCACCAACAGCTCCTTCTCCACCGTCGCTTGATGGCGAAGCTGCTCCAAACGCAGCTGATTCTGCCGCTTCCATTTGGTCCTGCAATTGAGCGTTTAATTTTTCTTTAGAATCGTTGCAACTCGACGCGTGCAATGAAGCTGTAACAAAAGAGATAACTACCTTCTGTTTTGGTACCATGTCTTAACTTGCGTTTCGGATAACGACAGAGCGTCGGCGACGTCGCTTCGGTCCGCGACGCTCAGATACTTTTGGCAACGAAACTTTCTCTCCAGGTAAGCGAGCTGAGCGTGAGTAAACGCTGTTCGTCTTCTTCTGGGCTTCCTGCCGCTGGGAGGACCGTTCGCGGAACCGCAGGACTTGCCGGAAGTTGCTGGCGCCGGCGAAGGCGAAAGCGTCGGCGGAGGACTCTCCAATCGCGTGCACGGACTACTTCCAGGATCGATTGTATCCTCGGAATCCGAATGAACTGCCGAATCGTCCTCTGAATCTTCTGGAACAAGCAGAATAGTAGAGTAATTAGATTTACCTTGTTAGTCGAAATAAGGGGCAAGAAAATCGAATGCAATCTCGAGGATTTTCTATCACAGACCGTTCTCACCCTTCGATAAACAGACGCCTACGTTCAAAGTCTATTATCCGTGGTATATCTATGAATTCAGAAGCATTGACGATCGTCTATGGTTAATGGTAAACGATCTGAATTACGAGAACGGTCGGTAGCTAGTCTCGATTGGCCAATAAAAGCGACGAGGCGCAGCAGGACACGATAATCGTCGATGGAAATTCAGGCTAACGAGAACTAACGAATCCTTCCGCAGCTTGGACCATCTGTAGGATCGTCGTTAATGGGGCACCACCCTGATCGGGGCCCCTCGACACCCCTAGGGCTGCGAATCTTGGCTAAAAATAATAGAGCCACGCTAGGGGGTATCCTGTAACGAGTATCGTGCCGACAGGCCACGCGACTCTCATCGTGCGCAATAAAAATTCTAATTTCTCCGTTATTTGAATTCGAATCGATGCCTGGGATTCGTTAGCACTCGTTCAAGATAATTCAAAAAAATGTCATTAATAAAAATTTGATCGCTATTAAAAATTAAGAATAAAACTTACCGTGCACTCGTTCCGACAAAACATCCCCAAGAAGATCCCTTATTAGAAACGACTTGTGCTCCTGCATCATCACTCTGGTCTCGATCGAAATAACCAATCGATACTTTACGAAAATACTTTTAAAAAACCGTAACTGCACGAATCAGCTGACCGGAAGCTGTGTGTAAACGCGAGAACAGGTCGGCAACGAGCGAGTCGAGTATCATGCTAACCTGTGGACGCGTAGCGTCGTTCTGCGTCGCAGTGGATGACCGGATGTGTCTGTCCAAAGCTTTGGTATCCTCGACAACGAGCGCATGTTGCTCAGAAAGCAACGAGGGTGGGGGGTTGGAAGAGTTACTGGCACGAGTTACAACGGTACACCCCCTCGCTACCCCTCTACAATTAATCCGCCCGTTTATTTCGAACGGGCTGGCTAATGCTCGCGCGATTTCGCAGCCATTTTGGGGGTGGAAGCGCCATGCTACCCCTACCAGTATCCCCGAACCGTTCAGCCATTGGTCGAGTTAACTCGCGAGCCAAGGGTGGAAATCGAGGCTGCTCGACGGGTATTGGTCGGATGAAAGCGGCCTGCGCAAAAAGGGGTTGGCCTCTAGCTTTGAACCCTTGGTAGAAACGGTTGAAGGGCAACGAGGAGGCTCAGTGGGTGGCAGGATTTTCGGTGCACGCTTCGGGAAGCGTATACAGAGGCTGGCGAGCATCGAGGAAGGGAAGAAGAGGGGTGCAAAAGTCATTGGCGAGCGATTACCGCGAAACGAGAGGAACAAATTGGATGTGAAACGTTTCTCCTGGTATATAGAGACACGATATCGAGATTGTTCTTCCTCCCTGGGGGCGGCTTAACGGCCCCGTTTTTCCCGCGCTCGATGTGCGCACTCTTTGCTCTGGCTTTTCCGCGCCGCGAGTCGTCGCGAGTCAACGTTCAACCATCCAACAAATATCAAACATCCTATACTCTTCTCAATATCGACTTAATTGATTATTGCACTTTAATTATTTCTTTTTCTCGGTGTTTTATTTTAACATCGTATAATGTGAAGATATGCAAAGAGAAATTCTTTCCTTTCGTTGTTGCTCATTAACATTTCTTTCTCTTTTCTGCTCGTTTTGCTTCAACTTTGATTAGAATATAGAACATCCGGAGATTCAGATGGTATAACGAAACGTTTCAGTTATCGCAACAAACTTTTCTGCCTTTCCTTATCTGGTTTATAACTTCTTTTTGCGAATAATGCATAACGTCGAAAATCCTTGTCTTCGGTTTTCGGTCGTCATTGGTAAACTTTTCTTTTCTTTCTCGTCCACAAAGTTTTGTCTATTTTACTTGAAACTTTTCTTTGTTAAAAATGTGCAACATCGAGAGATCCAGACCAGACCGTAACGAAGTCAATTTACTGGCTGAAACGGTGCGCAGGAAAAGTGGTGCAAGGTGCAACGCGAATACGAGCAAGGGGGTCCCGGGGTGACGAGGGGTGTATTTGCATAAATACGGTCCTCGCAATTTGCGGATCCCTCGTCGGCCCGCTTCGTCATCTTCTACAGCTAGTATGTGAGCGTAAATATGCATGATGCATGAAACCAGCAATCCTCGACACCGTCTATCCCCTTTTCACTCCCTTTTCTCCGTTCCTGGCTTTCGCAGCGCCCCGTTAGTCTATTCACCGGCTCGCTACTTATCTTCCGCTAGTATTCGCGCGACTCTATGGCCCCGCATTCGGCTGCTTTCTATACCTAAATATTTCACGTTCCGCAAAATCATCCACGCTGGATTCCCGTCGATGCAGAATAAAAAAGAAAAAATCCAGAACGAATCGCGATGCTACACGATTCTGTACAACCCAGGCCTCTTTGAGTTTTGCAAACAGTTCCCCGAGTTTGCTGTACGTCTTGTTCGTTGCTTAATTAACGAATCTCTTGAATCGTTATTTCATTTTTCCTCTACCTTATCGCTTCGAACTTCTGTCATCTCGATTTTTTTAATCATTACATGATAATTGATTAACCTATCATCATATTTATCCCGTCGATCGATGAACGAAGAAGAAGAAGAAGAAGGGTTGGTACGTGCAATTTTCGGCAACGCGACATCGCGTGGCGTTGCATAAAATGCGAGATCCATCCCTCTTTTTATCGTGTACTGAAAGAAGAATGTAGACGGTGGTGTGCCTTAATGGTTCGCTTGGTAGCTTCGAGTTTGCGCGTTGGCACCTGTAAGCGGAGAACCCTCGCCGATGTGGCTGCAGAGTCGGACACGACGGGGCGCGTTTGTGAATTCATTAGGATTAACGTATGCAGGGGATTAATTCAAGGGGCAGCAAAGCGGCCGGGCATCATCTTCTTCGTGCTCGCTGGAAAAGGGCCTCGGAGGCGGCGCAAACAGCGGAATAAATGCATGAAGACGAGATAAATTGAGGGCCGTCGAGCTGCGAAAACAAAGACGCTCGTAATAAGTTCGACGACGAACAACCCTCTATTGTTCGGACGGTTTTTTGACGCGGCACGTCAGCCATCTCGTCGTGCTCGTTATTTCGCGTACGATCGAATTAGAATAACAATCGCCTTTCACTCGTTTCCGATACCTTTGCCAAAATGTTTAGGGCTGTTCCTTGCGTGTATCGGTGACGTTTGTGAAAAAAAAAAAATGCAAAATTCAACCCTGATACGCGCCAATAGACGTTCAATCAATTTATTTAAACAATAGACTCGTCGCTGATCGCATCTGTCGCGATTTAGACGAGACTAAATGAATGGAAATTAGGCACGGGGGGGGGGGGGGGTAGTTTGACACGAATTGCTTGGAAATCATCGTCCCTTGTCAACTGATTGTTATCGGTAATTTGCGATATTCGCTCCCCACGTGGGACACGAAATTTCATCCCGATACAACCACCTATGATCGCGTTGAACAAATGGGATTCGACTTGGGGTGAATATCTCTATTCGATCTTTGCGGAGGGGGTGATTACGGATTACAAACCGAATCGTATTCTATTGCTATTCCCTGCTGTGTATCTAGATCGTCTAAACAAGTAACTCGTAATTATCATACAGATTACCTTCGCGATATATCAATTCACCTGAGATAAAAGATAAAAGTTGATTGATACGAAATATTGCGAACATCTTATCTATTTACTAAAATTAAAAATGTAACTTGTTAAGAAATAAAATTGCAAAAAATGTGGAACGCTTCACGATTTTGCGTGTCATCCTTGCGCAGGGGCCATGCTAATCTTCTCTGTATCGTTCCAATTTTAGTATACGTACTGCCGAAGCAAGTACATTAGAACTTTCTTCGAGGTTGTATATATACCATCATATCCATTATGGAGCACTTGCGAGAAACCTTTGTTCTCTGACACGACGATGCGCCATCTATCGGTCGTCAGTGAAACTTATTCAGTGCGACTCGGCGATTTACATACCTCTCTGTAATTTCATGCAATTGAAATGAACAGGTGATCTCTGCCTCGAAATAAGCAACTCGTTAACCCCTCTTCTTTGTTTGAAGTCGGTCGCAAAGTGAGAGGTTCGAAAAATGAGCGAGAGGTCCGTGAAAGCGAGAAGCGGATGTTTTGGGTAATTAATTGTCACCTACGACTGACAATCAGCAGTATACATGTAATGCTTTCCCAGTATATTTGCCTCGAAATAAGCGAAATAGTGCGAGAATAAGAGAGCTATATTCTATTCTTGTTTAAAAAATAACATTGCTGCTCGGCGGATCGCTTTATGATTTACCACTCGGATATCCCACTCGTTTCTCGTTTTCTCTATTGTCCCGTTTCGAGAACAAAGTTAAGCCGAATAGCATACCTGCTCCGTAATAAGCAACTGTTTGATTGCTTATTCGCGGCAATACCCTAATTGTCCCGATATTTACCCTAATTCGCACCGCCTACGGTTTTCCATCTTTTCAGCAGCGCACAGTACAAACTATACGAAAAGACTTTAACAATTCAACATTGTACATCGATTATTTGTCGTGGAATGCAAGGTACGACGAGAGAAGCTGAAAGCATTGCAAAGAAGATAAAGGAATTTCTTCGACGAGACTTTCGATATTCCGAGTCTGAATGATTATCAATAATAGAGCGGCGGTCGTCGATCGAGTTGGGAGGAATTGGTAAATACGGGTAAAAAAACAGTGAAGAGGATCACGGTGGAACGATTTAGAACAGTGAGAGTGGAAGAGGGAGTCGCGTGGCGCGGGCAAGGGAGGGTTAGAGAGGAAAAGCAAGGGGGTGAGATGGTGGTGGATCAAAACCGTGATGCCGCGAGGGCTTCGAAATCGTTAACAATCGCGGCAAAAGCAAAATCCATTGAGGTGCGACCACGCGTGTGAATATAACTGTCGATCTGAATATTCTCTGCTCG